TCAGACCTGTGGTGAGGAAGCGTGATGCACTACTACAAACATAAAATGGTTTATCACATAATTTTTAAGTGCTAAAAAAATTTGTCATTGAAATATATACGTAATTTAAAAATCTCATCTCGGAGCAAAATCAACACCCCATTGATCACAGTCAAAATAAGAAAGGGGGAAATTTATTTTTTTATTTTTTGACTAGGTACTCTTATATTTATACATATAATTAATAATAAAAAATATATAGTAGAAACAATAAAACTAATATGATATGTAGGAGATACATGTGTTTTACAACTGGTATCAGACACATTCTAACACATTGCTTGCAATCATTCTTTTTTTCTCTTTATATTTCTGCAAATTAAGATGGTTAGGATGTGTAAACCTAACAAAACAGCAATTTTTATTTTTTGTGCAATTGGGCAAGACATGCTTCTAAAAATATTCCACACTTTCTTCCTTTTTAGCAAGTAAATTCTACAATCCATTTATGATTCATTATAAAAAAAAAGTATATTTGAATTTTAAAAAAACTTAGAAATATATGAAACATTTATTGATATAGAAAATAAATCTATGTATTACTCATATATGCATAGATTAGCTTATTGATGCATGCATACCTGAAAAAAGTTTAAAAAAATACAATTAAATATGAATGCTAGAGGTACAAAATTGTACTTATGTTTGTTGTATTATTGCATGTATGTTTTGTAAAAATTGTATGTATGTTTTTTAATGCTGAATGCACAGAGTTTTGTCACTATTTTATTACTAACACTTGCTATTCATTGCCTTAGAGCTGCAAAATTGAGACCCAGTATCAGGTTCTGACAAAACTATAGATTAGTCATACTGCAAATTGTTTGGTAAAATGAACCATGAGGATTACACTAGAATTGGAATGAAATATGATTCATTATAAAACATAAACGTCTTTGGGAAATAATTTGAATCCAAATAAATCAAAAATGCTTATTGAAGTCAGTTTAATAAAGAAATGCTCATTCCAATTTTATTCCTGAAAAATGTATATATATTTCAATATTACCAAAATGTTGATCAATCTAGGTACACCCAAGACTTTTTATGCAATTACATAAAAATAAATAAGAGTATGAAATTTTAAAATATTAAAGCCATAAAATAGAAACAATAGCAATAGTTTAATGTTGACTGTAATAGTTCCTTAAAAGCAGCAGTTGAAAGCAAAAGAACTAATTATTCAAAAATGATAATTACTAAATAGTGTCATACAATGGTGGATTTGACAGTTCAAACTCCTCCCTAACATCAAGAGATTTTTAATTTTTTACATAAAGATTATACCTCGGTGCCCGAGTAAGCCACTACTACCATATTAACTTACTAGCAAAAGAAGAAAATAATGCATATTACCGCACCTTATTGGTGACATAATATGAAATGAAGCACCTGGTTGCATAGTCAACACGTAGACATAGTGGAAATCTGGGTTGCCAACTTGGCGAGTTATTAACAGAGTTGGTGATTGTTGCGATAATATGCAAATACTGAAAGTACAACTTTGCAGTAGCATTTCACATCATTTGTTTGTAATGAAAAGGGTGTTCATTTGATAAAAAGACTATGGAATTAATATTTAATGAAAAACAATAGAATCAATAGTGTATTTGTATCACACTAATACTTTTGATAAATAACGAAGAGATTTCACAAACACTTTAAATGGGAACAAATACTCCTTGAGTTTACTAATTAGAAGTTGTGTCCTTTAAAAGTCTGCGAAGTTTTTTTACATTTTTCATTTGCTGTACAATTCAAAATATACAATCCTGAAAAGTTTTATTATCCATTATTTCTATACTTGAAATTATTTAAATTTTGTAAACCTTTTTAAGAGGGTAATCCATAAGTGAACCTACTTAAAAACGGACAAGTTTGTTGTTCTTGGTTAGGAAAATGTAAATGTACAAACTTTTATGTTTGAAAAGGCACCCCACCCCCATTTCTTTTATCCATTTTCGTCAGAAGTACTTTCACAGTTGCAAATACTTTTAAAAGATACTGATTTCTAACATTTAAGGACTTCAAAGTTCAATTTAGATGACATATTGAAGCAGTTTCAAAATACATACATCAAAATATACATATTTACAAATGTAATTATAAAGAAAAATAAGTTACTGATTTGATATCGATATGGAACGAATTCGTACCATAAATCTTTAATTTCGTCAAATTACAACATACGATAACATTAAACTGATCACCAGATTTATTTGGCGCGATTTCCCGCCAAAAATGTGAGTGCCGTACCGATATCTTAGCCCTAAAGAGTTTCGGTTCAAGTGTAGTATAGGGAGGGCCACTTGGCGCAGTCCTTTCTTTTGGTGACTAAAAGCGGTTGCCAAGGTACTTTTTTCTGAATTATTTATTTTAGAATGTTCGATATCTCACCATGACATTTAGATAAAAATCGCTAAATCCGATGTGGCCCCCTTAACTGCACTTAAACCAGTTTCAAAACAAACTCCGAGAAATTCTTTTCTTTAAATGATATTAAAAAAAATTCACAATAATTACTTTTTCTTATGTTTAGGAGGCGGCCCCTTGTAACAAGGATCAACAAACTTTAATTTCTTCTGCTTTTTACTTTTTGGAATCCTTCCCATAATAGAACACTTTTTCTTGTTATCCAACAATAGATTAAAGTAATTACAATTATCTATAACTCAATCTCAAAAGAGGATTAAATCAGAATCATCAAAATTTCACCCAGCACTTTTAAGTTTACATAGCGTTACAGTTACAGTTAATATATTTATTAGGGATTTAGAGCACAACACAAAGGCTATTATTCCATACAAAACCATCAAGTACAATAGGTTAGTTAATGTCAAAATATTTCATCTTCTGAATAAAAAATCTGAATGCTGATCTGTTTGATATAGCTTTCTCCAGTAATTCTTTAAAGGTGATATTGCAACGAGGATCAATCTTGAGAAAATTTTATGGTGATTTCGAGGGTGAGTATATCTATCGCTCCAAAATATGCTCCAAGTCATTTAAACGATTACAAGAACTGCACATTGCATTGTCCGTTAAATTAAATTTTTGAAGAAATCCTGGGGTAATGATCATTTTGCTGAAGATTCGAGTGCATAGAATTTCTTCTCTTCTATTATTTGTCCATTTAGAGATGATGCCAATGTTTATAATATTGCCCAAATTTTCAAAATATTTGCTTGAATAAAATTATTGTTTTCTTTTTAAATCTTTCTTGATATATTTTTTTACTTATGTCTTCTGAAGCAATCCAGTCTATATAAACGTCAGACTCCGTGACAGATCTTGCGAAATAATCCACCTGCTCATTCCATAGTATATTAGAGTGTCCCGAATTCCAAAGAAATATCAATTTTTATTGGTATAATATGACTGTATGTAAATTTTGCAAGCTAGTCTGTGAATCGCACTATGTGATTTAATAGAATAATTTTGAAGAGCATGGAGCACAGAGAGACTATCAAATAAGATTAGCAGATTTTTGTTTGGAACAGTCAGATCATCTAAAGCTTGGCAAATAGCCAAAGCTTCAGCCGTAAAAATAGAGTTATTGTGATTTATGTAAGCAAATGAGAGATTTTCTGTGATACCAGCTATGGATGTTATTTGAGCATTTTTCGATGCATCGGTGGCTGTTATATGGAAGTTCTGAAAATCATGTGCTCGACTGTTTCTTCAAATAAACCCCTTATAGCTTGAATTGGTTACTTTTTCTCCTGAAATTTGAAGTCATTGGTATATATTTTACATGGGAGAAATAAAAAGGATGATATTCTGGGGATTGTAATGATTTGATTACTATTGGCATTTAAAGAGTGTAGTATGCAAACAATATTATTTTTATCCTCCTTTATAATTCTTAAATTCAGATCATCAGGATTATTGCTATATAATGGAGAAAAAGTTTGATTGGAGACTTGAGAAAGAAAAAATTTATTTGCCAGTGTTCTAATTTTGTCCGAGAGAATTTCTTGTCCAGCCAGTTTCATTAATACAATATTTGGTGTCCATTGTGGGAGACCTAATTCAATTCTGAGAGCTTTGGTTTGTATTACATTAAAAGGCTTCAACTGATTGTCAGACCATTTATTTATTATATGACAAGTGTAAACGAAGGTGCTACAGATGCTATTATTGATTAATTGGATAAGATTTTCAACTCTAGGACCATAATGCTTATAAGCCATACCTCTTAAGAGCATTGAGTTTTTAAAAGCTTTTATTTAACTTGCAGTGTAAAATGTTCGGGTGGAATCTTGCAACTCAATTTTGAAGATAATGTCTTCAACTGATTGAGCTGAAATTTTGTATACACGTTTAGTTTGGATGATAATGCATGTTTTGATTATTCCTATTCCGATATCGCAATTAGTTAAAAAGATATTAATTAAAGTAATTTGTTCGGGTGGAATCTAGCAACTCAATTTCGAAGCTGATTTCTTCAACCGATTGAGCTGAAATTTTGTATACGCATTTAGTTGGATGACAATGCATGTTTGACTATTTATATTCCAATATCGACCTAGTTACTATAACTATCTTGTTCAGGAGTTAAGGCTAGTATGTTTACAATAACAAACGAATGGACCCGGGGCGTAGCTCAGATGGTAGCGCGCTCGCTTAGCATGCGAGAGGTAAGGGGATCGATACCCGCGCCTCCAAATATTGTTTTTTTGTGTAAAATATTTTTGAAATTTATTTGATTTGTACAACGAGATATTTTACAATGCTTCCACTCTGCATACGTACAAAGTATGTTATATTTTTACTGTTCTAGAGGGAACACTAAGAAAGGCAGATCTGTCAAACTATTTCTATTTACTTTGAAACATTTTATGATATCTATTTACTCGATTCTAGTTTCTCCCGTAAAACTTTTAATTGATCTAGTTACTGTAACGATCTTGTTCAGGTATTAAGGCGAGCATGTTTCCAATAATAAAGGTGAGGAACGCGGGGGCGTAGCTCAGATGGTAGAGCGCTCCCTTAGTATGAGAGAGGTACGGGGATCGATACTTCACACCTCCAATTGTTATTTTTTCGTGAAAAATATTTTTGAAATTCGTTTGATTTGTTCGACGAGATATATTGCAATACTTCCATTCTGTATACGTGCAAAGTTTGTTATATTTTACAAGCTTTTTTTTTTAACTTGCAATGTAAATTATTCGGGTGGAATCTTGCAACTCAATTTTGAAGCTGATATCTTCAACTGATTGAGCTGAAATTTGGTATACATGCTTAGTTTGGATGAATATGCATGTTTTGAACAATTATATTCCGATATCGCAGTTAGTTAAAAACACTAGTTGCACGGGCTTTCTCTACTTTTATAAATTTTCCCTTTCCATCACAAAAATAGAACTTCTAATACTCTTTTTCAAAATGATTTCCACCCCCCTCCACTTAGCCCTGCGTTTCTCGGACTTTTATCGAGTGTATAACTTAAAATTCTCTGTTTCGAAATTTTTTCGCTTCTTTTCTTTGTCAGACTGGTTTATTTCCCCCCGGCGTTGCACGAACATTTTTAAATAAATAACATATTGTCATAGAAATTCCTCTTCTCCTCTCGCTACCAGAGCTCTCGAGTAAGTGAACATTCACCGATTCTTAAACAGCTTGTTAGGTGGAGTGTAAAACAGGTAACCAAAGCTTGTTTGAGTGTACTGAATCGTTTACAAAGTAGGAGAAGATGTAAACATGTCATTACGCCGTTTCCGAGGACAATATGTGCAGCCACCGCAGTTTGAAAGGGAGAGAATCATCGGCATGTTGAAAGTTGGTTGGTCAGCTAGGCCAGTAGCTTGTCAATTAGTCCGCTCTGATTGTGTTGTGAAGGTGTTGGGACTAGCAGATCCGAGATATGTCATTTACACGAAGACCAGGCTCAGGACGCCTTCGACAGACCAGTCGTTGAGAAGACCATTTGGAATTGCGGCGTCCATTACGTGGGCTGCCCTTGACACCCAACCATCAAAGCCTCCATTTGGACTCGTGCCGGGCACGAGGAAACTGGACTACAGTGGAATAGAACCAGGTCTGCTTTAGCGACAAATCCAGATTTAATCTCAGCAGTAATGACAATCGTGTTCGTGTGTGGAGACCCCGTGGTGAACGCCACAATCCTGACTTTGCTTTACAGCGACACATCGCTCCCACAGCTGCTGTGATGGTATGGGGTGCCATTGCCTACAATACACGGTCACCCCTACCATTGATCCGTGGTACCATAACATTTCATTGTTATGTCCATGACATCCTGAAACGGCTCCCAGGAGCTATTTTTCAACAAGACAATGCTCGGCCTCACATGGCAAGGATGTCACAAGACTGTCTCCGCACTGTTACTACCCTTCCTTGGCCTGCCCGATCCCCAGATTTGTCTCCAATCGAGCATATCTGGGATAATTTGGGACGGCGAGTCGGGCATCCCACGATTTTGAACGAACTAGAGGCAAGGATACAGCAAATATGGAATGAAATATCTCAAGACATCATACAAAGCTTGTATGACTCAATGCTCGATCGTATCGCATCGTGCATTCGCGCTAGAGAGGGTTCAACAGGGTATTAAGTTCTCCTTTCTTTTGCCTTTTTCTCTGAAATAATTGATCCTTTTACTTTGATTTTCTAATCATTTTGTTATATCAAAGTTGTCATTACTTATGTAAAATTTCGTTTCCTTTTGACGACTCCAACTTGGTGCGTTAATATTTTTGTCCATGATTGTATAATCGCAGGAAAATATTTTTTCGTTTGTAGAATAGTATTTTCCAAATTCTGCACAAGAATTGAAAAAATTGGTTTAAAATTACGGATTTAAAATTTAAAAAATTGTGTTTTTCGTTTTTAATATAGTATTATATTAAAAGCAAAACAAAAAAAAATTGCGTTTTAATATTTTAATTAATTTTGCATTGTCCAATATTGTTTTGGTCTAACAGTGTTTATCCCCTCTACCCATTATCCTTTTGTTGCGGCCCGAGAGAAATATCCATCATACTTATGTGGTTTGGCGAGAAAAAAAGTTTATTAACCCCTTAGCTGGACTGTTCAAAATTAACCGGTAAATGACCTTGCAATAATGATGCGTTGATGAAATTAACAGACTGAGAAACCTCTGTCCAGCGATAACTAAAAAGTAAAAAATAAATTAAAAGTAAAAAAACTTTTTTTAAAAACAAGCTTTTATTTAAATGCTCTAAAAAGAATAAAATAAACTTTTCTTTTAAAACTTTTTTTGCTATCAACTTATAAAGTCGTTACACAATTTATGATATAAAAGCTTGTCGCGAGATTTATCTGTAGATAAACAAATTAAATAACTTGATCTGATTGATTTTAATTTTTAAAATTTTCAAACTAAGTAAATACGAGTACTTAAATCTCGCGACAAGCTTTTATATCATAAATTGTGAAAAGCTTTATAAGTTGATAGCAAAAAAGTTTTAAAAGAAAAGTTTATTTTATATATTCTTTTTTTAGATCATTTATAAAAAAATCTTGTTTATATATATATATATAAAAGTTTTTTTTACTTTTAGTTTATTGAAGTTATACTTCTTTTGGGGCTTTAGAGGAATAGGATGAGGGTGAATTTTTACGATGCGCGCGCACGCCGTCTCGGATGTGATGCAAAACCATCACTTTGTCTAAAATTGTGCTTTGTCTAGAAATATACAGAACGAGACAGATAATTGTGTGTGTGTGTGTGTGTGATGCCTTCCAAATTCTCAGGAAAATATTTCTCTTCACTTCCCTGAAGATGGGAAAACCCGGGGTTGAATCGGAGACCTCTCAATCTGCAGTCGAAAGCTTTACAACTGAGCTATACACCCCGTGTCAGCGAACCTTTGCTTTGCGTTCCGTAGGAACGGATACGAAAATGCTCTGTCTAGAAATATGCAGAACGGGACAGATCATTGCCACCTTCGGAATTCTTAAAAAAATATTTCTCTTCACTTCCCTAAAGAAGGGGACACCTTGGTTTGAACCGGGGACCTCTCGATTAGCAGTCGAATGCTGTACCAATGAGCTATACACCCCATGTCAGCGAACCTTTGCTTTGCGTTCCGTAGGAATGGATACGAAAATGCTCTGTCTAGAAATATGCAGAACGGGACAGATCATTGGCGCCTTCGAAACTCTCAAAAAAATATTTCTCTTCCCTAAAGAAGATGGGACACCCGGGTATGCACCGAGGACCTCTGGATCTGCAGTCAAATGCTCTACCACTGAGCTATACCCCGCGTCAGTTAGCTTTTGCTTTGCGTTCCGTAGGAACGGATACGAAAATGCTTTGTCTAGAAATATACAGAACGGGACAGATCATTGCAGGCTTCGTAATTCTCAAGAAAAATATTTCGCTTCACTTCCCCGAAGAAGGGGACACCTTGGTTTGAACTGGGGACCTCTCGATTAGCAGTCGAATGCTGTACCACTGAGTTATACCCCCGTGTCTGCGAACCTTTGCTTTGCGCTGATTTCTGACGTCTCTACTAGTAGGGAGAGATCGTCCTTCGCCTACGGAACTTCTCTGATGCATTTGTTTAAACACTTTTTGTTATTAAACCAAACATACCTACAGGAAATTTAAAAAAAATTAATAAGTTAAATTTTAAATTGTGTTTCATGTACATAAAACATAAGAGTAAATATTAGTTTACCTATTTAAATAACAATTACAAGTATATGATTATAGATGTATTTACTACGAACGCACTGAGATGAACATAAACACATTTATTACATTGTAGCAAATTATAGGAGCCTTTTATATTCGTATATTTATTTTTGAACTTATTCTCCTTTTTGGACGTTGGGGAAAAAGGATGAGGATAAATTTTTACGATGCGCGCGCACACCGTCACGGTTGCGTGCGCATACCATCACGACACCGATGCGCGCGCACACATTTTAACAAGACACTTTTTTGATGCTATGGGACTGATGTTTGGAGGATCATAATAACTATTGTTATAAACCATACTGTTGGGACGCATCCCCCCTCTACAGCTTTTTGGCTAATATCTCACACCCGAGCCTTACAGTCCCTTAGGACCTGGCTCATTCGATCCCTCTCTATCTGCTCTTCCAGTTATTATAATTTCATGCTCATAGGGCTATTTCTCCCATAGTTTTTAATTGTCATATTTTTTTTAATTTGTTTAAATTCGCAATATTTTGGCTCCTGTTCGAGTCTCGGACTTGAGATTTGAACCAAGTGTTCCACTCGTCGAGACCCATCCAGTCTCTGCTTCATTCCCTGTAGGCATGGGGAGGGCTTAAGCACTAAAATATCATGCTCCCATGTTGATCCTATGGGGACTGGAAAAATTTCACCCCTAAGGAATTGAGCTTGGAACTTGATTTTTGGAGGTCCGCCATATTTTCGTATTAGCGCGAGCTTTACGTGGAATTGGCCCCCTCCCCCCTACAGGGCTTCCCCAGAAATTACTCGAATCCTATGCCACCTTGGTCGACCACACCGGCTGAATTCGATTGTTCTTCCTATGAGCATCCTAGATATATTTTTTCAGGAAAATAGCCCCATTTCCTTATCCATATTTAACATTTTTAAATTATTTTAAAGTTATAATTTTTTTAAAATTCCGCATAGCTCCGAGGATTTTTGAGATTCGTTAAAGAAACTCGGACCATAGGCTTTCCTCGTTGAGCTGTTTCATCTGTTATAATTCTTGTGTAGATAGTGGGCTTTGGAAGTGGACGTTATCACTAAAATTAGAATCCCCATGTTTTTCTTATGGGTTTCGATCTTTTGATGACGTAACGATATTACAGAGATAGAAGGATGAAACTTTGGAATCACCTACTACTCTGTGTATCGTTGCGATGTACGTGGCCATTTACGTCACAGTTGTTCCCCTCCAGGGGTAGTTAATTGCGCTTTCCTTTTCCGAGCTAGCACCGCCCCATTTGCTACTACATACTTCGGACCGGTTCTAATGGATTCATCTTGTGTTTGCTCAACACCAGGCTCAGTTTCGAGTTGCTGGGTGCCCTGCTTCTATTTTATTTAATTGTTTTAAATGTTTTAATTATTTTAAAATGACCATAACTCGGGGGTTCTGGTGGATGCCTTAATTTTCTCAGGAATGATTCTTCCCACCGAGACATTCAATATGAGGTCTCAGATGTCACATTCGGTTCACTTCATCTCCAGATACAGTCGAAACCCCATGTTTTGGTCTTTGCCCTGTGGGGGGGTGTTTGAATTTTTTTAAATGTAATTATTCAGGTTTGGCTGTCCGATTGACTGAAGGTTAGCATCGTTTAAACCCTTTGCTCCTGACCCCCTTTTTTGTCCTTGGCCCAGCTTCCCCTTAAACATTCTAGAAATTTTTTAATCTTGTTACCCCAAAGTATAACTTCTTTGCGTATAAAGTAAAAACACAGTTTTATTTCAGTGTTTTTTATTTTTCATTTGATGCGTGATTTGGTATTTTGATTCCGTTTCGAAAAATATACCAAATATTTAATACAAATTGCATGGTAGAAGGGTCTCCCCAGCTAGTAATATATTAGGAAATGAGTGAATCCTTTTGTTCAAGGTCCAGCTATTGTTTTTTGGGGCTTAAACTCAATTTCCAATACTTAAAATTGTTATTCTTTTTAAGGTTTTTTGTAATTTAAAACGATGATATCGAGCGATTGATGTGATAATAGAAAAAAAGGGTCAGCATATATGGAACACCCGGCTATTTTCCAATGTTTCAAAAGTTATACATATAGATAGTGTATAGTAAGGGAAAAATAACTCCCTTTGGGGGAACCCCTTAAGCAGTGTTTTTCAGATGACAGACTTCCTCCATCAATTTGCAAAATCTGTAAAAAAAAAAAACATGCATCCAAAGCGCTATTTTCCAATTATACCAATTTGTAAACATTTGTAAATGGACCGTCAATATATACGGAGTCATAAGCACTTTTATATCTGCTGATCCCCACGAAATATTTTTTTTCCATCTTTGCGTCTGTAATTGCTTTGTAGATTATATAAGTTGCTGTTATGTTATCTTAAAAGGAACAAATCCATAATGTTGTTGATGCAGTTTTTGTTCTGTTATCAGGAAGTAGGTAATTCAATTGGCTAAAATTCTTTCAAATGTCTTAAAAAAAAACTGTGTTAAAAGCGATGGGTTTATATGAGGAGTTTTTTATTTTTATCTTTGATGGTTTGGGAATTGGAAAATTATAGCATCTTCCATTCCTTTGGGACAGTTCCTTATCAAATATCTATTGAAAGAAATTTAAGATTATCGTTCTTCACTAGATTCAATAGTTTCAAGAATTTAAGGGATCTGATCTGAGGGGGGTTGTGTTTTTAACAATTTCATTGCTCTATTAATTCAGATATATGAAAGTTTTTTGTTATTAAACTTTTATCTTGGGCAAAAAGTCCAAAGGAGTGGCTCATGGAAAATTTTTTGGGATGCGAATTTTTCCCAAAAGTGGCGTCTGTGGATGATATATTATTCTGTTATGTATTTGAAGGAAATTCAGAGTTGATTCAGGATTATTCTTCATTGCGATTTTCTTGATGATGTTATAGAATATTCTTGGGAACATTATTGCATACTGTATCCCAGTATTTCTTTTTGGATTTTTTTATATAAAATTGGATCCAAATGGAATATTGCTTATATCGAATCCACAATTTTGGGGAGTTTTCCCCAAATGGTTTTTTTCTAAAAAGTTTTTCTTAAGTTTATAGAGGTTATGACAAGCATTATTCCCCCGGGGGGGAAGATTCTATTAGAGATTTTATATTTCTAGTATTGTGTTTGAAATTATTTTACAATATTGTCAGATAGATTATGATTTTTCGTCATTTTAAAAAACTGCTGATTTTGCTTGTTTTATTACTGAGGGCCAATCCACTTTTTTATAGTTTGTTATGAAAATTAAATGTTATCGGGTTATGAAAATTAAAATCTTTATAACGGACAATGGTCACTATTGTAGGGCTGTCCAAAAACAAAAGTGTTGCTGTATCCGATGAGCAAGGCATAAAGTAAAAAAACCCGAATAGCACTAGGAACATTGTTTCTATGCGTTGGAACATCAATATTTAGAATAATGAAATTAGAATTTGCTAACCAATCCAGAAAGATTTCACTGTATTGGGAAATATGATTTAGCCCCCCATTGGGGGTGCAAATTAAAATCTCCCAATATAAAAACTGGGTCCACTAAGGAAACAAGAAAAAAAATTAATTTGTAAATAAGTCCTCGTGATGCATATAAATTTATTAGATGAAAGGAAATCATTAATTATAATTTGCAATATTAAAATTTCGTAGTCTGAAGATATATTCTTAAAAGGGTATTTGTCTGGCAGAAAAATTTTATGGTACTATATCAGCAGCCCTCCTCCCGGTTGTCAAGTCTGTCTTTGTCTGAAAATGATTTTACCGGTTTTAAATTGTCGTTAGGTTTTAAAAAACTCTTGAAATATCAAAACATCTGATTGTAAAAAAGGGGGGAATTTTTTAAACCCAAAAAAGTTTGTTTTTAAACTTTTACAATTCCATTGTGAAAACCATAAAAATGATATACTAGAAAAAAAAATAAAAAAAAATTTTTAATCCTCCCAAAAGGGTTTGGAAAATACAGATATAGATAAATTTTCTATATTTTTTTAAAAAAGAAAAAAAGTAAATCAAATTGGAAAAATACTGAAAAAACTTTTTAAAAATTTTACAATTTCAATATTATTTTATGTATTATATCCATATTTTTGATGTACTTGGGATGGATATTTCAATTTTCTGTTGTGGTAGACTTATTTTTTTTTAAAGGAGGGATCGTTGCTTAC